GGGAACCGCCTGGGGCGGGGAGCACTGCCCGGCCCTTTAGGCTTACAGGGTAAGAACCCTTCTAGGCAGAGCTTAGGTAGGGAAATCGGAGTTTGCCGACAACGCGTTCGCGCGCGCGTCGATCCAGGTTATGACATAAGGGCAACGGGACGACGGCTGGCACGCAGACGGCGGCTCCCCTTGCTGCGTGTAATCGTAACGCTTTTCGGGGCCCGCACCGTGCAACTGTTGATGGACGGGGAAGACTTCGACTTCGCACGAGTGTTGGCACGCCTTCGACCCAGCTGCTGCAACAATGCAGGGCCACGCTGAAGCTGCAAAAGCCGACGGCGGGCTGCAGATTGCTGTCGTGATCCGCTCCGACGTGTTTCGGAGTGTGAGGGCACGCAGGATCAACGCCACGCCTGGCCCAGTAGATTTTTCCGAGTCGTCAACTGAGCCGTGGCCCAGCACTCAGCCGAGATCCCAGTGTGTCTCCGAGACCTGACGGCGGTGCTGGCAGAAGCATATAGGTCTGATCTGGTGGCCTCGCCGATTAGGCCCAATGCGACGTTGGCCTGGTTAGAACAGTCTGGATTGCGGATGGTCCACGCACAAAAATTCAGTTCCCGGCCATCCGCCTGCGCCCATCCTCCGCCGAAGGTCGGCGCTCCTCTGGCGATCCTCGATGATGGGGATGATGACGATGATGCTTGATGATGGTAGTGAGATGAAAACGATGCGATGATGACGATGACGACGACGATACTGATGATGATGATGATGATGATGATGATGATGATGACGATGATGATGATGATGATGATGATGGCGATGATGATGATGACGATGATGACGATGACGGTAATGATGATGACGGCGACTGTGGTGATGTGTTGATGATGATGGTGATGGCGATGATTGGGCGGGATGCGTCTATGAATGGGCAATTGAGAACCATCGAAAACCGATCGGGTCAACTGAGCCGAAAAAACCCGCCCTGCCGACAACCAGTCTTGGGCTGCTTAGGGGTTTCCCTGCCCGATCACATCCCTAGGCCCCTTTGCTGTTGGTCTCTCTATCCTCTTTGCCCCCCCGGTCGCGCTGCCGCTCTTCCCCCCCCCCTTTGCCGTCTCCTTGCCCGCCTCATCTGCCGTGCTGCTGCTGCTGCTGCCCTTGCCGCCGCGTGCCTGCTCCCTCCCCCCGGCCCTGCCGCGTGGTTGCGGCTGCTGCTGGCCTGGCGTCTCTGGCGGGGGGCTTGGGGGCGCGCGGACGATGGATCGGCGGCGGGCCCGGGGGAAGGCGAGGAAGGGCAGGCCTTCGCAGAAGGCTCGGACATCCCCCGGCCTTCCGAGCAGTTTTCGACGCCGTCCCCGAAGACGCAAAACAACCTCGCAGAAGGCGCGGGGGGTCCTGAGGACTCCCGCCGCCTTCTGAGAAGGCCTTGCCCTTCTCACTTCCCCCCCCCGCTCGCCGCCGACTGGAGGCCCGGGTGGAGAGGGCGATTGGCGTGAAGGGGTCCAGGAACGGGGTGCCCGCGGGCCCTCGGGGCGGCTGGCGCCCCCTGTGCCAGCCCGGCGGGGCGGCCAGGCGCCCGCGAAGGGCGTGCCCGCGGGCAACTTCGCGCGCCGCCAGCTGCGGAGAGGGGAACTGGGTATCGCGCGGACGTGTGCGTGGTTTCTCCCGGGGCGGACCATCGAGGAGCATCGTGTCATCGTGGATCATCTGACAAAAATAAAAACACGCACGAACTCGAAACGTGCAGTAGGAGTGGACGTCCGAGCGATGGCAGTGGAAGGGGAAAAGGGGAAGGAGGGACGGGGGAAGGACGAGGACGGGGGAGGGTGGGAACGGGAGAGAAGGGGGGGGGGTAACGAGGGGGGAAAGGAACGGACATCGGAGGCGGGGATTTATGCATAGCCGCCGCCTGGAGGATCGATTTGCGGAGACCTCGAGGGGCGGTGGATGTGGATAACCGCAAAGAGCAATTAAGAGCATTCCCCCCGTCTCCGGCGAAAGTATAACGCACCCGGCACCCCAGAAGCGTTACCCTGGCACCTCGCACCTTTACGTGAACGCAGACGAGTCTGCTCGCCGAAACAAGCAAGCCGCCTGAGACATTCTCGCCTGAGACATCATTGTTCTTACTCTTGTTACTCGTATTTCACGTTTATTCTTATTCTTAATTTCAATTGGGATACCACCCGAGCCGGGGCGCGGGAATTATGTATTTTCGTTCAACTTGCGCGGTGCTAATCATATCGTTCGGTGAACACCGCCCCCCAGAATTATCTGACTACGGTGCTGTGCTAATGATAGGCCTGGGGGCTTCCTTAATGGCTTCTTGGGGTCATATGCGGGGCCTCTGGGGCCCAGCTATGTCCATGTCCACCGACTCCTGGGGTCCCAGGGCGTCGGTTCCACCGGCGGTGGATATGGACACTTCCCGTCCTCGCAGGATGGGGAGGGATCGGCGTCGGCTCCGGCGCAGGCGCAGGGATCGCCGTCGTCGAAATCAGTCCTTGTTTCCTGGGGGCATCTCCACGTGGTCGACACCCGAGCACACCGACATTCACAACTAGGACTTCCTCCTCCTCTGTTCCTCCGTCATAACCTCTGGTGCGTTGCACGTTCTCCTGACTTTCTGCATGTCTCGCAGTTCCACTGCATGTCTGTATGCCTACAGGAGGCCACGGCCTCACGCACCTTGTCTTCCAAGGCCTGGGCAGCTGTCCGCTGTGGTGGTTCGCTCGTTCGCTCGGTGAAGCCATCCGGGGCGATCGTGGGGAAACCCAGAACATGTACCGATACCGCTGCTCCTCAGACCAGCTCTCCTGGGACGCGTTCTGAACAGCGGTGGCGACGAGTGCCTCCCAGAAGGCCCAAGAGGGGGAAAGCGGGCGAAGGGTGCTTACCGGTGCGGGTCCCTTTGCCTCCTCCGAGATCGGGGGATCTCGTTCCGACCAGCGGCCCTCTCGGCAGCCGCCCCCCTGCGGTGGGCGGAGGGCGGGCGCCGCGCGGCATGGGGCGGCCTCTGGCGCGAGCCCCACGTGTGCTTGCGCTAGCTTTAAGGCGGGCGTGTCCCTCTACAGGAGGAGTGCTCAGAAATATTTTTTAAAATAGTCTGGGGGAGGTTCTTTGGTCATCATTTGATTATGTTTGGCGCATTTTTGAGTGTTTTTATTTGTGTTATTGGAGTATGTGTGGTATATGTTTGAGTTGTTTCTGATATTGGTTGGAGCATTGTTGACTGTTCTGGTTATGGTTTGGCTACTTTTGGCGCATTGTTGGATTCTGTTTTCTGATCTTTCCCGTTGGGAGAGCAAGAGAGATAGCAATCTTCCTTGTTCGGGGAACGGGCTTGTCGCTTGAGGGAATTCCATCCACGCCTTCACTACGTCAAAGGGAAGCCCCTTCCCTTTGTCTCTTCCCCGGCGGGGGGGAGTCCCAGGGGGCCTCCCCTCCCCCTTCCACCTCCCCCTTCCCCCTCCTCCTCCTCCTCCTCCTCCTCCTCCTCCTCCTCCTCCCCCTCCTCCTCCTCCGGCTCGTTCTCCTTATTCTCCTCCTCCTCCTCCTCCTCCTCCTCCTCCTCCTCCTTCCGCCGCCAGCCCCGGCAGGCGCGCGAAGACACGGCCTGGAGAGGCCTCTTGCTCCCGCCACGCGCCTCGGGGCTCGGGAGAGGCGTGGGTCCATGCGCACGGGGGGTCCGCCAGAGCGCCGTCCCCGGGTCCCCTCCACTCGTAGGCGACTTCTCGCCACCTCGTCCTCGTCCTCGTCCTCCTCGCTCTCGTCTTCGTCCTCTCGTCCTCGTCCTCGTCGCGTCCTCCTCCTGTTCTCCTTCGTCCTCCTCGTCCTCGTCCGTCGGGGGCCTTGAGACGGGGGTCAATTCAAACGGGGGCCAGTCAGAGCGCCAGATATTGCAGGATCCTGCAGAGCCATCAAAGAAGGAAAAGGTACCCATACCTCTACCCCTTCGCCCGTTTTCCCCATTTTGGGACTTCTTGGAGGCCCTCGTCGCCACCGCTGGATTCGCCTCGAAATCCTGGTCAGAACGCACCCCTGGAGAGGTCCGGGGGGTAGTGGTATTGGTACCTTGGGGGTTCCCCAAGACAGGGCTGCGCTGACCCGGGTCTGCGTGCAGGATCTAGCATGATCTTGCAGGGTCTTGCAGGATTTTGCAGAGCCCGACCGACCCGGGTTGGCATTGAGCCGGGTCAATGCGTCCCCGATGCACGTGAGAGTGACCTTTCGCCAGAGTCATTGGGTGGCAGATGGTTGAATGCGATGCGATAGCAGCGGCTTCCGATCGGGTTTGGCCCGTCCGCGCCCCCCGAGGTCACTCTTGCGGAGGGTCACTCTTGCGAGTAGCCGATTTCTCGGAGGGCGCGGATTTTGCAGGATCCTGCAGAGCCAGGGTTGCACTGATGCAGGCTTGCGCGCAGGATCTTCCAGGATCCTGCAAAGCCTGGCTGATCCGGGTTTGTGTTTTGACCGGGGTTGTCAGTGCGTCCCCGAGAGGACACGGAAGCTTGGAGCGATCTGCGGGGAAGGGGGGGGGAGGGCGCAGCAAGAGGAGGAGGAGGAGGAGGAGGAGGAGGAGGAGGAGGAGGAGGAGGAGGAGGAGGGGAGGAGGAGGAGGGAGGAGGAGGAGGAGGAGGAGGAGGAGGGCCGAGAGGTGGTGGGGGAGCAGGAGCGGCAGGAGGAGCCAGAGCAGCGGAAGGAGGCTGGAGGAGAAGAGGCCAGAGGAGGGGGAGGCCGAACTTGGAGGGAAGGGGCGCGGTGGATCTTTGAAGGATCGGAGGGCGGAGGAGGAGAAGCGGCCGGAGAGCGGATGGGGGATCTTGGAGGGAAGGGGCGATGACCAGAACAGGGGGGGTCAGCCGAAGTCGTCGTCGTCGTCGTCGTCGTCGTCGTCGTCGTCGTCGTCGTCGTCGTCGTCTGACGCATTGGGGGGGGTGACGGTCGAGGATGGGACACCGGAGCGGCGGGGCGTTGGCGGTGCCTCCGACGAGCGGCTCCAGGTACCCCTCGTCAACTCCGAGAGGCTCGAGAGGGAGCGGGCCGCCAAGGACAGGGCCGCCAGGGAGGCGAAGGCCGGCCGCGCCCCGCGCTGCCTGCGGCCGCTCCTCTGGGGCTGCTCGGCAGGGGGGGGGGGGAAGAATCGGGGCAACGGGGGGGGGGAGGGGGGAGGAGGGTGGAGGAGGAGGGAGGAGGAGGAGGAGGAGGAGGAGGAGGAGGAGGAGGAGGAGGAGGAGGAGGAGGAGGAGGAGGAGGAGGAGGAGGTGGAGGAGGAGGAGGGGAGGAGGTGGAGGAGGAGGAGGAGGAGGAGGAGGGAGGAGGAGGAGGAGGAGGAGGAGGAGGAGGAGGAAGGAGGAGGAGGAGAGGAGGAGGAGGAGGAGGAGGAGGAGGAGGAGGAGGAGGAGGAGGAGGAGGAGGAGGAGCGAGGAGGAGGAGGAGGAGGAAGGAGGAGGAGGAGGAGGAGGAGGAGGAGGAGGAGGAGGAGGAGGAGGGGGGGGGATGGGCTCAGGGGGGACGGAGCCTCGAAAGTTCGAGGCCACGTGGAGGTGTACGGACTGATGCCTCGGCTCTCCGCGGCTCTCCAGGCATCGGGGTGCCCTCGAGCGGGAGGCGCCTCGCCGAGAGCGCTCCGGGGGGGGGGGATGCCCCGAGCGTCCCCCGAGCGGCCGCCTTCTCCCCGGCGGCTCTGTGGCTCGCCCGCGGGAGCGTGAAGAGGCGGCCGCGCCTGTCGCACCTCTCGCGGCCCGGGCTGAAAGGTGGGGCCTGCCCCCCTGCAGGAGGAAGGTTCCCAAAGAACTAGTGAAAACATAGTCTGGGGACGAGCTTTTCACTATTTTGGACCGTCTTTTTGAGATATGTTTAGAGTGTTTTTGGTCTTTCGTTCAAAATCCGACTGTAGGAGGACATGCCCGACCTAGACCTGGGCCCCAGAGAGGTCCCCCTTCGCCAGGGTGGCCGCCCGGGGGCGCGAAAGTGACCGCGCCTCGCGCAGCGCGCAGCGCGGAGTTGGGTGTCACATGTGGAGTATGTTATCCTGTCCCCGAGGAGGAGGAGGAGGAGGAGGAGGAGGAGGAGGAGGAGGAGGAGGAGGAGGAGGAGTTTTCACCTGTCTGAGAAAGAAGCCGGTGGGGGCAGGGCCCCTGCCCCCAGCGTTGCGCGAGGTTCCTCGGGGTTTGTCGGCGTTCTGCCTGAGGAGGTGGCCCGTGGCGTTGCCAATTGCCAGGCAACGCCAAGCACCGCGAAGGAGCGTCAAGCAGAGCCAGGCACTGCCAAGCAGGGCCCAGGCAGGGCCCAAGCAATGCCCAAGCAATGCCCGAGCACTGCCCGGGCACTGCCCAAGCAACGCCAAGTAGTGCGAGGCAATGCCCAGGCAATGCCCAAGCAATGCCAAGTAATGCCAATTGGCGCAAAGCGCCGATTCCAAGCAATACCAAGCAACGATTCCGAGCAATGCCAAGCAACGTCGAGCAATGCTTTGCATTGTATTGTCTTGGATTTCTCTGAACTGTTTCGACGTGCTCGGGGAGAAACAAAGGTCCCAATTCGGGGCCGCGCCAGGGTCGTGGATGATGATCAGAAGGGCGTCCCAAAGAACGCCTCAGCCATGAAGTGCGTTGCGCATGAAAGGCATCTGTGCGAGTATGGATGAGGCTTAAGGATGTGGATAGCGTAGACGAAATGATAAACACATGCCGATGTTCAGATGAAGGCACGCCGTGCTATATGCAAAGTCACTGGCACATGTGAGCATTACCGTGAGGCTGCATCTCAAAGTCCATTGACTTTTTATTTGTGCGCGTCAAGGCACATGCAAGTGGACATGCATAGTCGAAGGCCATGCAGGTCGTTCAGAGAAATCGGTAAAGGCACAGTTGACTCGAGGTAAGTGTTATTGTAAGCGTGGGGGAGGATGTACATTTGAGTTATACCGAGTGCGGGTGTCGCTGGCCTGAACTTTGGTCCGTGGATGGGAGCACGGCAGAAAGGAAGGGGGAATGGTCATCGCTTGCTTGGTGGGGCTCTGCCAGGCGGCTGCAAACTGCAACACCTGAATCTAACTCAGCTCAGCTGCAAGAGATGTGGCCCTTTCCGTAACCATTTTTGCTCAAGCGTCTGCGTGCTGAGGGTGCTAGCGCCCGCGCCCGCCAGGGTCCCGCGCGCAGCGCCGCGCGGGGCATGGCGGCTGCCTGGCAGCAGCTGCGGCAGCTGCGGCACCGGGACCTCTTGAGGAGCTCGCTGCTCCGGGCCTTCGAGCGCGACCAGCTGGAGTGCAAAGTGATCCAGTCGGTCGCCTTCCGGCCCCTGCTGGGGCGCTGGGCTGAGCTGCTGCTCGCAGGCGGCAAGGGCGGGGCGGACGCGAGCCCGCGCGACGTGCCGCCCGAGATCCGGGAGCGCGCGGAGAAGTCCGGGGACCCCGAGGTGCGCTGGCTGGTGCGGCGCCTCGCCAGCGGCGACGCCATGTGGCGCGGGCCGGCGCCGTTCCCCTCCGTGCTGCTGCAGAAGGGGCCGCAGTACCCCTTCCAGCCATGGGACTACGCCTACCTGCAGTCCAGGGTTGGGAGCATCCGCGGCACGGAGCTGGCGCAGAAGATCGAGCTGCCCGAGGCACCGAAGGGCGCGGGCACCGCGGGCGCGGATCAGCCCCGGCCGCGGGACCTCTGGAGCGAGGGCTGCCTGGATGACGACGATTTCGTGGATTTTCGCAAAGCCCCCCGCGGCTGAGAGCGCAGCGCTTCCTCTCTCACTCTCGCGCGCTATCTCCCTCGCTCTCTCGCTCTCTCGCTCTCTCTCTCTCTCTCTCTCTCTCTCCCCTTCTCTTCATGACGTGGTTTCCATACTCTTTCGTTCCCGCCTATTTCACGCTATCTTCTTTTTTCCTCGTGCCGCCACTATTATTTCTTCATCTCGAAGCTGGCCAGCTCCTGCCACGCTGCTTCTGGACGTTGCGCGGTTCTCGCGCGGGAATGGTGCAGTCGGTTTTCGTTTTGAGAGCCGACCTGCATGTGCGAGCCTAGAATCGCAAGAGTCGTCGCTGGAGTCCAACAAAGAGAAGGTATGCGAAGAAAAAAAGCTGCAAGAGATGTGGCCTTTCGTCCTGAGGGTTTGGGTTTTGCGATGTTACTCAGCAGGCCAGGAACGTGGGTAAGACGATGCAACTGCCAGCCGTCCCTACGAAATCCACCTGCTGAGGGTTTGATCTCCTCAGTGCTGCTCAGCCGTACTTTGGCACTGCCGCTGCTGCGACCACTCCTCGGCGCCAACTCAACATACTAATAATGTTTGTGCGTCGCCCCTTCAGGGGCGACGCGCGCGCCGGGAAATCTCATAGTATATGCTCCGCGCCGTACCGCTCGCGAAACGATGTACTACAAGATGGATGTGCTAGATGTTCGGGTCGGACGCACGCCTCTGAGGAGGACACACAGTACTAGTACGGTCGAGCATCTGGTTAAGAAGCCTCCTTCCGAAAAGCTGGGCCAGCATTTCTTAACCAACTTGAGCGCGTTCGCCCGTTCGCCCCTCCAGCGGTTTCGGCAGAAATTGGCTCAGGTCTGTCTTAAGAATCCTCCGAGAAGCTGGCCCAGATTTCTGAAGCGATAGTTCTCTTGATCCTATTTCCCCAATCAGAGCTTGCCTCTGTAGGGGTCCTAGCGGATTCATATGGTTAGGTGAGGTGTGCCACCGATTTCCGCGGCCCGCCCGGGTGCCTCGGTGTCCGAGTGCCCGGTTGCGTGGGCGCCTTATAGCCCCATAGCCTTATAGCCCTATAGCCTTCTAGCCCTAGAGCCCTATAGCCCTATAGCTCTATAGCCACATACCTAGCCCTATAGCCCAATAGCCCTACAGCACTATATCCCTATAACCCTGTAGCCCTATAGCCTCATAGTCTTATAGCCCTAGAGCCCTAGAGCTCTAGAGCCATGTAGTCCCATAGCCCTACAGCCCTATAGCCCAATAGCCCTATAGCCCTATAGCCCTATAGCCCCGCAGCCCTATAGCCCTATGGCCCTATAGCCCCGTAGCCCTGTAGCCCTATAGCCCTACAGCCCTATAGCCCTAGAGCCCTATAGCCCTATAGCCCAATAGCCCTATAGCCCCATAGCCCCATAGCCTTAAAGCCTTATAGCCCGATAGCCCTAGAGTCCTATAGCCCTATAGCCCTATAGCCCTAGAGCCCTAGAGCCCTATAGCCCAATAGCCCTATAGCCCTATAGCCCCGCAGCCCTATAGCCCTATGGCCCTATAGCCTTATTGCCCTATAGCCCAATATACCTATAGCCCTATTGCCCTATAGCCCTATAGCCCTGTAGCCCTGTAGCTCCATAGCCCCATTGCCATATAGCTCAATAGCTCCATAGCCCTGTAGCCCTAGGGTTTTTTCTCCCGTATCATTTTGGCTGTACGTCCTTGTGCGTCCCATTCATTCTTGCCGCCACGGCCACAGACTCGGATGAATGCGATAGCGGTAGTCCCCCGTCGCCGGCACGGCGCGTCGGGCAGGCGCGCGCTGCCTGTGTCCCAAGGCCAGCCAGAGTCGGCACCTGCTGCGGAGAAGTTCACCGCGAGGCAGGTTGGCACGCGGACTGGCCCAGAGCCAGCGGTTGCGCGCGTCGCGACGACGTAGGTCGGCCGCGCGCAGAGGGGGTACCCTGAGCTTCATGAGCATCATGAGCTTTGGACCTCCGTTTTTTGCGTCACCTTTCGAGGCGGAGCGATCTGTGAGGGCCCTGAGTCCCGAAATCGAGCGGAGAAACGCCCGTTGTGAACAAAAATGCGACGCCAGGATCTCAGGGTGGGAGAGGGGGGAAGGCTTCTGAGAAGCACCCATGTTTCGTAAGAGGCGCGGGCCTTATCTGTAGACGTAAGGCCAGCGATTTCTTAGAAGCAGCCTCCAAGAAGCTTCCCCCCTCCGCCTGCCCCCTTGTGCGAGCAGCCAAGTCGACGGGGCGCGCTCACCGGCCAGTGAGAGAGAATCCTCCGCCTGCAGGAGGACTGTGTTGAG